CATCATTCACAGCAGGCAAACAGGGAAACAGACACTGTTGTCGTCAGCCCCGCGAGGAAACCACAGTAGCTAAGGAGAAACCAGCGACGGGGAGCGCTCGGATGCACAGAGACCCTGAGTGAGGACAGGAGCAGCGGCCAGCCTGGCAGCCCGAGACATGGCACTTTGACACCTTACAGGACGCGTTTCTGGACACGAATGGCCAAAGGGAGGCCAGCAAATTCCCTTCCTCCTTCCACAAGAGTGGTACCCGGTGTTAGTTCTGGAACCGAAAATGGAGTTAAAAAAGCATCCGTGTATCTTCTGTAGCTAGCAAAAGACAACAAAAACCAAAAAAAAAAACCTAAACGAGATGAAAAGGCCAGAAAAAAAATTGAAATGTGACCCCAGCCTCGCTCTGCGTCGGGCCGGGCCTGCTGTAGGGAGGCAGGACACCCGCGGGCATAAAATGGATCCCAGGAGGCCTGGGCAGGGTCCCCGGCGAGGACACAGAGGCCCCTGGGGCCTGGAGCCTGAGGCAGCAGGTGGCCCTTCCCACCTAAGTGCCCGTGTGTGTCCAGGCCCCAGGTCCTGACACCTGATGTGAGGCCCTGGACCCATCGCCTCCACTGCAGACAAAGGGGACAGAGGCCCAGGGGTCCCCGGAGCCCCAAAGCCGAGGTAGGGCTCGCCCCCCCGCCCCTGTGTCCACTTCTCCAGCGCACCCTGGAGTCCGGTCCCAGCGCGGACACCTCATCCGTGTCACTGGGCCGTCGACCCAGCCACCCCACGCCAATCTCCGTCAGAAAAACAGGTCCAGCACTCAAGTGCCCTCCCCGGCAGGATCCACGGTGTGTGCAGGGGACCCCGGTGAGAGGCCCATCAGCTTCCTGCACGGTTAGGTGACGTGCCAGCCGGAGCTGTCACCCTACGTGTCCAGGGTAGGCAGCGGAAGGACATCACCTTGAAAAGCGGGGGGAAGACACCCCTACGTTTCACACCAACCCAAACCACAGTGAGACCTCACCCCACCTTGACTTGGGCGCCAAAGTCGCAATCGCTGGCGATCACAGGTGCCGGTGAGGACGTGGGGAGCAAAACGGCGGTGCCGCTGTGGGGGAAGCGGTCAACGGGTCCTCGAAAGGTCAGACAGAGTTACCGCCTGACCCAGCGATCCCACTCCTGGGGCTGTGCCCACGAGGGCTGAAAACACACATCCACACAGAACGCGCACACGTGCTCACGGCAGCACGACTCACAAAAGCCCAAGGGGTGAGCAACGCCATCCACAG